ATTATGATTTTCTGTACGAACTAAATGTCATTTTTATTGATTTCGGAGTTTGATTTCACTTGATTTTAACTTGATTTTTCATTGATTGAGATTTCACTTGTGATTTAAATTTCACTTGATTCTATCGTATCTGTGATTGATTAAAAAATGATTTGCAAAAACTGTTTTTCTTATCATCGGTACTATAATTTTCATATTAGATTGAATTAATATAATCAACTGAATCTGTATTTAGGTTCCGTGAGTTTGAATCGACTCTTTGTATAGTACGCTAATTTGTGGCCTATCCCTATCAATTAAGTCTTACAATTAGTGTACCTAGATCACATAATAGAAGCTTGGAGTAATAACAGGATACCGAGTCGTATTATTCACAGGACTGTAATACTACTTGTACACTGTTTCACTTTTAACCTAAAACCTCAAACTACCGGATAAGGGATAATTAGAAACTCGGCAGTATCTCGTCGGAATAATGTCCTCGATCACAATCCTAGTTATTCTATCAAGACAGTGTTGCGTAATATTTATATACGTATTAATAAACTATTAAAATTTCTTAATATATTTTAATACAGTATTTAAAACAAAAATAAACGTTATTTTTCGCAATGTATTTTTGTACTCCTTTCAGTTTCATTTCCTCTTTGCTTTCCTGTACTGTATTTACAGTTTAATTCTGAATACATTGGCTTTTTAAAAATTGAATTTCTGCTTTTTACGAGGGTTCTCGTCTAAATGGTTGCAAGCAGTCCTCTCCAACTCTCTTATGGATAGCAACAAAGATTTTTTAATATGTCAGGACCTGCGGGGGTCTTTTGTACGATGAATAGGACACCGGTACTTAACCCTCCAAACGGATAACTCTTTTCACGTCTTTTAACTTAAATAATGCAGTTTAAATTTAACATTTTAATAAGCTAAAAATGCGTGTTTACCAAGGCATTTTTAGGCGGCACATGAGAAACTTATAAGCTAGTAAAAGGGTTAATGACCTATTTACCTCACCAAAAATGAAAGTCAATATTTCCTTAAAGAAACGAAACACAAAATAACAAAGAAAAAAAAAAACAAGAAAATAGGAAAATTAATGAAATTCACTTACGGCATCACGCCCTCGACATCGAAGAAGTGGAAGTGAAGATGGACTCTCTCGTTCGGCTGGCCATTGAAGAAATAATGGCATTCCGTGTTGCGTGGATAGAGGCCAGGGTAATTCGGCGACGCGAACGTACCGTTCCGTGTTTCGTTACTGTTGTAAACAAAGGCGCATGGATATTCCGCCTCTTGCCGGCCTGTAGTTATGCCAAAGTCTGAAACAATGCCTGGCGTTAACGTTCCTTAAATCTACTCGTAACTCAGAATAAACTCTCGCACCGGTTAGAAATAGTCTTTGACGGAAAGTGCGGCGACGGTGGCGGCTACCGTGCCGCATTTCACCGGGTAAATATGACGTTCCCCGGGCTCGTTAATTAAATCGTGCCTATTTCAAGTATTTAATTGCGGAAAGAAGGAAGTCGGTAACTTTGAATCGCCCGGTGCAATCTACCTTTGTTCGAACTTTCTTTCTCCGCGTTCCTTTGCGTAATGAAAAGTGGCTCAAAGGTGCTTTGGATAAATGAAATGGCAATTGTTCGACAGATGGTGTTTCAACCCCTGGCGGGAAAACCCCTTAGGCCTCGATATTATTTCCGAATCCAATTTTTCGGCCCTTTTCTTTTCTTTTTTCATTCTTCAACCCTTACGTCAGTGATCCACTTTATCGTTCAATTTTAATAGCTTTCTGGCAGCAAAATTCGAAACTTGAAGCAAACACCGATAGAAAATGTCGGATATTAAGATCTTTCATCGAGAAGATCAAATGTTTCGAGTGAGAAAATGTGGGAAAGTTGAGAATGAATTATTTGAAGAAGTGAACATTGTGAAAATGTTTGTTTCAGTTGAGGAACGCTGGTGTGTTTCGTGGTAGAGGTGTCTTTATTGTTCGGTGAATTATGAGGGTAGAGTAAAGGGAGGATAATAGACGAAACATTTTAAAGAAGCGGTAATGAACGTGTTGTGGCCTCAGAAATGTTTCGAGTTTAAACGAATGATTTACCGTGCTCGTAATTATTTTGTTGTTCTTCAATTACCGGTTAGTATACATTGCGCGAAATTTATTGCAATTTTTTATCCTTTGTTTTACTTTATTTACTTTTTAAAACAATACAATACGTATTATTTGTCGGTTTGAAAATTATTGGAATATCCAGTTAATTCAATTGTGCGAATTAAAAAGTCCAAATTTCATTTCTACAATAAATAATTATTTATTGTGCTTGTATTCGCTTGGACTTTAAATTAACGATGGGTAACTAACGTCAGTCTTGCATCTATCGGTGAATTGGTAATCTCTCCTCAAATGTTCGCAGACTATGTTCAAGTATAGAGTTTGTTTGTAGAATATCGTATCGCAGGGATATTTGCTCTCGACCGGCGACTCTGGCTAGTTCGTTGAGCACAGGGTCGAATATATAGTTCATATTGTTGATCCCTTCAGATCTGAACTGTTTTTTAACACGTTGAGTGCCCCGGGGGTCATCGATGCCGATATTAAAAGCATTTTAGTTAAATAAACGGTCGTGTTTATGAAATTTTCAATATTGCTCGTGTTATGATAACTTCGTAAAGTAGCAAATGCACCATAAAGCGTTTAAACAATTTATCAAAAATTTTAT